GCAGCAGCAGCAGCACCATAGCAGCAGCAGCAGCAGCAGCGGGACTTGTTTGGTATGAGCTAGATTTCACGCTGCGGCTGGTTCTGCAGCAACTAGCAATTAAACACCATGGCTTGTCAGTGCTTGTTTACATAGCTAGCTAGCTAGCTAGCTAGCTAGCCAGCTAGTCAGCTAGCCAGCTAGCTAGCTAGCCAGGGGCAGCCAGCCAGGCGGCCAACCCGTGGCAGCTAGCTAGCTAGTTAGCTAGCTAGCTAGCCAGCTAGGCAGAGGCAATTAGCCAGCCAGCTAGCCAGGGGTACCCAGCTAGCTAGCTAGCTAGCTAGCTAGCTGGGGAAAGAAAGCAAGCTCGAGACCTGGAGTTCGTTGAGAGGCAGCTAGCTACAGCTAGCTGGCCCTGCAGCCCACGGCTAGCCGCTAGCCCTTTATATGATTATATACGTGGCTAGCTAGCTATCTTCAGTTCCAGCTAGCCAGCTCCACAGCTAGCTAGCCTCTCCGCAGCTAGCTAGCTGCCTCAGGAGCTGCCTGTCTAAAGGGCTACTTGGCTATCCCCACAGCTAGCTAGCTATCCCCACAGCTAGCTAGCTATCCCCACAGCTAGCTAGCCATCCCCACAGCTAGCTAGCCATCCCCACAGCTAGCTAGCTACCCGCACAGCTAGCTAGCTATCCCTGCAGCTAGCTAGCTATCCCCGCAGCTAGCTAGCTACCCCCACAGCTAGCTAGCTGTGTGTGTCTCTGCAGCTAGCTAGCCGTCTGTACAGCTAGCCAGCTGTCTGTACAGCTAGCTCGTTTATTCTCTTTTTCTTTCCTGGGTGTCACTTCTTTTTCACTTTCTGTCTCTGCCACTTTTGTCTTTTTCATTTTCATCTTTTTGTTTTTTCCTTTTTTCTTTTTGTCTATTTTTATTCCTAATTGTCTCCGGGTGTCTGTACACCTCGCCTCTTTCTTTCCAAGTTCTTTTAAATCCCTTCTCCAGTTCACCCAAAGCAAAACTTGCATGCATGCATTTATTCATGCATGCATGCATGCATGCATGCATGAATATGCATGAATAAATGCATGCATGCATGCATTTATTCATGCACTGGGGCCTTCACACTCGAACGCCTGCATGCATGCATATCCCAATGATTGCATGCAGCCAAGAATGCAAGCAAGCCCCAGGAATGCCCGTATGCATGCATGCATGTACATGCATGCATGCATACTCGTACGCATGCATGCATGCATGCGTGCATGCATGCATGCATTGTTAAAGAAGTAAGGAGGAAGCGTCGGCATTCTGGCCTGCAGCAAATGAGGCAAAGAAAAGAAAATAAAAAACTAAAAAATAAAAGGAGCGAAAAAAGGATAATTAAAAAGAAAACAAATTAAAGTGAAAAAACAAATAAACAGAAAACAAAATTGAAATGCAAAATAAATAAATAAAATAAAGACAGCAGCAGCAGCAGCAGCAGCAAAAAGATCTTTTTACTTTTCTCTTTCTTTTGCTTTTCCCTCTGGCTCTCCTTCACTTTTGCTGCCACCTCCGCAGCGTCCTGCAGCAACACCCAAACCCTGAAGTTTAAACCCTAAACCCCAAACCCTAAACCCTAAACCCTAAGCCCAGGCGCTTGTCCTTTTCCGGGCACAGCAGCATTTCTTGATTTAGAGGGCCATGGGGGCCCAAAGCAAGCAGCAGCAGCAGCAAAGACAGCAACGCTGTCTCTAGCAGCAGCAGCAACAGCGATTGTATAGGCAGCAGCAGCAACAGCGATTGTATAGGCAGCAGCAGCAGCAGCAGCAACAGCAGCAGCAGCAACAGCAGCAGCAGGCAGCAGATTCTCACCGGTATGCGCCTCTGCTCTTTCTGGATGTTCGCTTCTTTCTCGTCGAGGCGTTTTTGCTTCTTTTTTATCTGTAGACAAAAGGCGAAAAGTGAAAATAAAAATAAACTCAATACTACTGCTGCTGCTGCTGCTACTGCTGCTGCTGTTACTGCTGCTGCTGCTACTGCTGCCGCTGCTGCTGCCGTAGCTGCAACCAACGCCGCTCTTTTGCGATCGCTGCTTCAGCAGCTGCTGCTTCGCCTGGCGTTTTTGCTGCAGCCATATGTTCTGCTACTGAAACAGCTGCTGCTGCGACATCCAGAGCAACCGATGCTGCTGCTGCTGCTGCTTCTGCTGCTTCTGCTACTGCTGCTGCTGCTGCTGACCGTGTTCTCTGCTGTGGGCACATATTCCTCTGCCCTCTTCTTCCTTTTCTCTGCCGTCTTTTGCTGCTGCTTCCCTGGCAGCTCTTCCATTTTGCGCCTCTGCAGCAGCAGCAGCAGCAGCAAACGCATTTACAAGATGTGATAATAAGTGCTGCTGCTTCACAGCAGCCAGCAAAATAAGAACAAAAGTGCTTACTAAAAAAAAGTGTATGCGGCAGCAAAGCCCCAGAAAGAAGCCACAGAAGCATGCACGCCAGCTAGCCTCTGGCCCAGCAGCAGCAGCAGCAGCAGCAGCAAGGGAAGCAGCAGCAGCAGCAGCAGCGTCAGAAATGAGAGCAGCAGCACCATCACGTGCACCCGCACCAGCAGCATAAAGACCACCACCAGCACGAGCAGCAGCAACAGCAGCAGTAGCAGCAGCAGCAGCAGCAGCAGCAGGTGTTTGAACACCTTTCTTTCTGCTGCGTCGATGAAGTATTCTCCGGACTCCATGAGAAGGTCTTCTTTGCGAGGAGTCTGCGGAGGAGGAAAAAGACTTTTTTCTTTTTTTTCTTTTTTTTCTTTTTGCTTCTTCCGCTGCACATTCCGCTTCTTGAACTGAGGCAAAAAACGGTCCCAGTTCTCCTGCAGCAGCAGCAGCAGCAGCAGCAGCAAGAGCAGTAGACGCAGCAGCAGTAGCAGTGGTGGAAGCAGCAACGTCACAGCAGCAGCAGCAACAGCAGCACAGCGAAAGCAGCAGCAACAGCGTGAGCAGCACCAGCACCAGCAGAAACAGCAGCAGCAGCAGCAGAAACAGCACCAGCAACAGCAGCAGCAGCGGAAACAGCAACAGCAGCAGCAGCAAAAGGGGACAAAAAGTAAAGAGATAACACATGAACTAAAAGAGACAAAAAAAAGACAAAGAGAGAGAGAAAAAGAAACAAAAAGAGACACAAAAAGATGCAAAAAGATATTAAAAAAGAAACAAAAAGAGATAAAAAAGAAACAAAAAGAGATAAAAAAAGAAACAAAAAGAAATTTGAAAAGAAACAAAAAGAGATAAAAAAGAAACAAAAAGAGTCACAAAAGGACAAACAAAAGGGACTCCAAAAAGATCCAAAAAAGGGACTAAAAAGAGAATAAAAAGAGACAAAACAGAGACAAAAAATGGATTAAAACGAGCAGAAAGAGAGACAAAAAAGGGACAAAAAGGAGACAACAAGAAGACAAAAAGGAGACAAAAAAGATATTAGAAAGAGACAAAAAAGAGACTAAAAAGGAACAAAAAAAGGACCAAAAAAGAAACGACAAAGAAACGAAGAAGAACCAAAAAAGAAACAAAAAAGAAACAAAAAAGAAACAAAAAAGAAACAAAAAAACGAAAAAGAAACAAAAAAGATCAAAAAACGCACAAGTTGTGAGAAATTACATTTTTGAGTTTTTCGTCTTTGGCCAATTCTCTTCGAATTAAAAGTTCCTTCACGTGATAAACTGGATGGACATTTTGCATGCAGTCTTCCACCACGCGGCGCACCTGCAGCAAAGATGGAAAACTTTTTTGCTTTTTTTGAATCTTTTTTGGACATTTTGGATCTTTTAAAGCTCCTTTTTAGCGCTTTTCTTGTGCTCTTTTAAGTCTGCTTTAATTCCTTTCTTATTCACTTTTTTATTTTTTATCTCCTTTTTTAAATCTCTTTTTCGCTCTGTTTTGGACACTTTAAACCTCCACTTCACAACTGCACGCATGCAACTGCATGCAACTGCATGCACGCAAGTGCATGCAAGCAAGTGCATGCACGCAAGTGCATGCACCTGCATGTATCAGACTGCATGCAACTGCATGCAACTGCAAGCACGCAAATGCACGCACACAACTGCATGCAGCTGCACGCACGCAGCTGCATGCATGCAGTTGCATGCATGCATGCAAAAGGCTGACTTGTTTGAGCCCCTTGGGGCTGCCCATCGCCGCCACAGTTTGGCCCTGGACTAAAATGTAGCAGCAGCTCAGCAGCTCCAGAGCCTTCAAAGTGCTGCCGTTGGGGCCCACCAGCCGCTGCCGCCGCTTCACGAACTTCTCCTGCCCAGCGCAAACCCTAAACCCTAAACCCTAAACCCTAAACCCCAAACCCTAAACCCTAAACCCGAAGCCCTGGAGCCTGGGTTCCAGCTGGGCAGCAGACGAGGGTCAACTGGAAAGCCGCACGCGTGGACAGGGCTGGTTTAGCAGCAGCAGCAGCAGCAGCAGCAGCAGCAGCAGCAGAAGGGCTCACTTTGTTGCGAACCATTCCTTTTATTTTTATGATATCGCACATCATGTCGTCTGCAGCAAAAGCGCTGCAACAAGAATCCTTTGAAGTAGTCCGCTGCTGCTGCTGCTGCTGTCGTCAATACCCGCAGCAGCAGCAGCAACAGCAAGCAGCAACAGCAACAGCAAGCAGCAGCGGCAACAGCAAGCAGCAGCAGCAACAGCAAGCAGCAATGGCAACAACCAGCAGCAACACCACCACCAGCAGCAGGCAGCAGCAGCAGCAGCAGCAGCAACAGCAGCAAAATTAACCTTCGAGAATCTTTTTGGCCTGCTGCAGCGGAACACATCTCGCCAGCAGCTTTATCATATCTCTCGCCTGAAAAGAAAAATTAAAAATTCAATTAAATTAAAATTAAATTAAAATTAAATTAAAATCAAATTAAAATTAAATTAAAATTGAACTAAAATTAAATTAAAAACAAGACCTTTTTGAATCATTTTGAAAGGGCTTTCAAACAGAATTGAAATTGAATTTGAATTGAATTTGAATTGAATTCAAATAGAATTTAAGCTCAATTTAAATTGAATTTGAAATGAATATAAATTGATTTTAAATTAAATTCAAATTAAATTTAAATCCAATTAAAAAGAAATAAAAATAAAAATAAAAATAAAAATAATAAAATAGAGCGGAGTTTCTCGCCTCCAAAATGATGTAAAAAGACAAAAAAGGACTTTTTTGGATCATTTTGAAAGCGCTTTTAAACAGAATTTGAATTGAATTTAAATTCAATTCAAATTAAATTTAAATTCAATTCAAATTAAATTTAAATTCAATTCAAATTAAATTTAAATTGAATTTAAATTCAATTTGAATTCAATTTAAATTCAATTAAAAAGAATAAAAAGAAAAAGAAAAAGAAAATGGAGCTTTTTGCCTTCAAAATGATGTGAGGATTGGAAGCCTTTTTAGCTGTGCGAACTGTCATGCACCGGGCGTGAAATGAAACGAAAAAAAGCCAAAAAAGAGACTTTTTGGACCATTTTTAAAGCGCTTTTCAACGAAATAAGAAATGAATAATAATGAAATCAAAAAGAAGAACCGAAACGCGAAAAGGCGGAGTTTCTAGCCTTGAAAATGATGTAGGGATCGAAGGTTTTCCTTGCAGTTCAAAAGGTCATGATCCGCACGTAAAATGAGACAAAAAAGCCAAAAATGGACTTTCGGGGTCATTTTTGAAGCGCTTTTCAACAAAATAAAAACAAAACAACAATTGAATCGAAAAGAAGAATAGAATAGGAAAAAAATGGAGTTTCTTGCCCTCAAAATGGAGCAAGGATCGGAGGTTTTCTCGGTGTTTCGAGCTGTCATGAGCACTTCCGCGGGTGAAACGAGGCCAAAAAAAGACGAGAAAAGGACATTTTGGGTCTTTTTTGAGACGTTTTTAAGCGCAATAAGAACAGAATAACAACTGAAATGAAAAGAAGAAGCAAGGGGGGGAAAAGCGGAGTTTCTCGCCTTCAAAATGATGTAGGGGTCGAAGGTTTTCTTGGTGGTCCGCACGGTCATGGAGCCCTCGGCGAGGTCGAGCTCCGCGGCCACGAAGTGTACGGACAGCTCCTTCTGCACTTCGCGCCAAATTTCCTTCAAATACTTTTCGCGATATTTCGGAAACAAAACTGCAAAAGAAGACTCTTCGCAGAGGCCAAAGGGGTTGTCTTCCTGCAAAAGCGGCAAAAAGCAGTTAAAATGGATTAATTTAACTCATTAGTTTAAAAAAGAAATTCGAAAAATGCAAAGAATTTCAAAAAACCGAAAAAAGTGGAAAAACCGAAAAAAATTCAAAAAATTCGAAAAGATTTCAACAAATGCAAAAAGAGTTTGGGAGTTGAATTTAATTCATTTAAAAAAGATTTAAAAACTGTTTTTTATTCATTAAAAATTGTTTTGAAATAATTTAAAAACAAATTTTCAAATAAAACGCAAACATATCTCTCCGGGTTTAGGGTTTGGAGTCCAGGGTTTAGTAGGGTTTAGGGTTTACAGATTAGGGTTTAGGGTTTACCGTTTACAGACTAGGGTTTAGGCTTTAGGGTTTATAGTTAAGCGTTTAGAGTTAAGGGTTTATAGTTAAGCGTTTGGGGTTTAGGGTTTAGGGTTTAGGGTTTACTGACGGGGCGAAAAGGCTCGATCTTCCAGTGCTCGATATCATCTGTGTCCCAGGGTTTGTCTTTGCGGTACTTTCCCTTTTTGCTGCTGCTGCTGCTGCTGCTGCTGCTGTCAGCTGTGGGGCCCCCCGAATCAGGGTTTGAATTAGGGTTTGCGTCAGGGTTTGGATTAGGGTTTGCATTAGGGTTTGGGGTTTGGGCCTCGTCGTCAGAGGGAGGCCCGGGGCCCTTCTTTCGCCGCGGCATTGCTGCTGCTGTTTGCCTTTTGCAGGGTTTAGGGTTTAGGGTTTAGGGTTTAGGGTTGAGGGTTTAGGGTTGAGGGTTTAGGGTTTTGCGTCGATGCAAACCCCGCCGGCGCAGCGAAAAAGAGGGGCTCCGGGGTAAAAGATCTGTTTTGTTGGTTTGAAAGTTAAAAATGAATTAATTTATTAAATTAAAAATAAAACAAATTAATTTATTTAATTTAAAATGATATTTGCGTCTAAAAACATCCAAAAAGCCCCAAAGCAGCAGCCGTTGCTGCTGCATGCGCCCGCGGCAGCCCCAGCCCCCCTTTGCTTCTTAATTGTTCATTTTCAAAATGTATTTAAGTAAATTATTAAATTTAAATTTATTTATTTATTTATTTTTAACTTAAACAAATAATAAAACCAGTTTCCAGATCCTGAAGCCTGTTCTGCAGCAGCAGCAGCAGCTGCAGCAGCTGCTGCTGCTGTTGCTGCTGCTGCTGTTGCTGCTGCTGCTGCTGTTGCTGCTCGCCGTCGATTCTCTTCAAATCGCTGCCACTGAGTTTTCCATTTGTTTACTTTATTTTTGTGGTTTATTTATTTATTTATTTATTTATTTATTTATTTATTTATTTATTTATTTATTTATTTGCTGTTTATCTTTTTCTTGTTCGTGTGTTTCTTTGCTGCTGCAGTCAATGAAGGGTTAGGGCTTAGAGTTTAGGGTTTAGGGTTTAGGGTTTAGGGTTTAGGGTGGCGTGGGGCCCATGTTTCAGGATTTAACACTCAGTCAGTTCTCCCGCGCCTCCTCGAACAGAATCCTGAGGGTTTAGGGTTTAGGGTTTGATTTGCTTTATATGAATAAGGAAAAGCTTTAAAAGTAATTTAATTTGCTTTAAAGAAAATAAAAATAAACTTTGTTTTTTGAAATACTGCGATCTCTACATACACTCCAACTCCCGAGACCTCCTTTGCTTGTCTTTCTCTTGCTACTGCTGCTGCTGCTGCTGCTGCTGCTGCTACTGCTGTTGCTGCTGCGGCTACTGCTGCCGTGGCTGCTGCTGCTGCTGCTGCTGCAGCGCCTCCTTCCAATTTCGCTTTTACTATTGCTCTTGCTGCTTGTGCTGCTGCTTTTGCTGTTGCTGCTGCTTTTGCGGCTGCAGCTGCTTTACCTGTTGCTGCTGCTGCTTCGCTGCTGCCGCTACTTTTTCTGCTGCTGCAGCTGTTTTTGCTGCTGCTGCTGCTGCTGCTGCTGTTAGGTTCAAAAAGGCAGCAAACAGGAAAGCTGCACCTCGTAGACTGACTCTGGTTGCTCTTAACCATTTATTTATTTATTTATTTAGTTGTTTATTTATTTATTTATTTATTTATTTATTTATTTCCTAGTAAATAAAATAATTATTATAGTTATTTTATATTTATTTTGTTCATTCTTTTATTTCCTTATTTGTTTTCCAATAATTTTTTTGAAGGTAATTAGCACAAGGAAGCTTGAAACTCTAAACCCTAAACCCTAAACCCTAAACTCTAAACCCTAAACCCTAAACCCTAACTATTCCTCATGTGTGCCTTGGCCGCCTTGACGTGTATGGACAGTTTCAGCAGTCAAAAATGTTTTAAAATCTGCTGCTACTGACCCCTTTACTGAACTGCTGCTGCTGCAGCCGCTGCTGCTGCTGCTGCTGGTGCTGCTGCTGCTGCATCAGCTGCAGCATCTACTACAGCTGCTCCAGCATCTGCTGCATCATCTGCTGCAGAATCTGCTGAAGCATCTGCTACAGCTGCTGCAGCTGCAGCAGCAGCAGCAGAAAAAGCGCATCCCCGCTCCGTGTGCCTCATTTGAACCGCTACAGCAGCAACTAGCTGGCTAGCTAGCTAGCTAGCTAGCTAGCTAGCTAATTATCTGGCAAGCTAGTTAGCTAGCTAGGCAGCTGGCTGGCCAGCTAGCTAGGTTTTCGGCTAGCCAGCTAGCTAGGTAGCTAGCTAGCTAGCTAGGCAGCTAGCTTGCTAACTACTAGGTGGCTAGCCAGGCAATTTTCTTGGCTGCCTGGCTAGCTGCTGCAGCTTTCGGGGGAAGGGAGAAGGACCAGAGCCAAATGAACCAAGTTGCTGCTGCAGCAGAAGCAGCAGCAGCAGCAGCTGCTGCTGCTGCTGCAGGTGCTGCTGCCGCGGGTGCTCTGGCTGCTGCTGCTGCTGCTGTGGGACTTGCCGCTGCATCGAGCGGGCGGGGGGCCGGAGTCCGCAGCAGCAAAAACGCTGCTGCTAATATTTTCAAAAGATTTTAAATTTTAAAATAAAAAGAAAAAAGATAAAAGGCCAAAAGAAGGAGCAGCAGCGGGCACACAGAGCAGCAGCAGCAGCAGCAGCACAGCAGCAGGAGCTCCACCCATCACCACCCCCCAGCACCAGCAGCGTGCTGCTGTTGATTTTGCGCTTCAAGTTAAAATAAATGCATTAAATGATTAAAAATTAATTTGAATAATTAAATTTTATACTTTGGTTTATTTATTCACACTCTGCAGCAGAAGCAGCAGCAAAACGGACAGCAGCAGCCCCAACAGCAACACCGCAGCGCCGACGGATGGTCGTGCTGAGGTCTGCTGCTGCAGCAGCAGCAGCAGCAGCAGCAGCGGTGAAGCACAGTAGCGCTTAATCGAGAGTGGAGTTTTGGCTGCGGCGGATAATGGGGCTGTGTGCGTAAGATTTACGGCTGCTGCTGTTGCTGCTGCTGCTGCTGCTGCTCCTTGTGGTGGTTGCAACACCGCAGCAGCAAACAAGCCCTGAGCTGCGCCCCCACTTTCTTGAGCCATTCCTTGGCCCTTTCAAACTTCCTTAAGCTCTGAGAGTCCGAAGGCGAGCCGCAGCAGCAGCAGCGGCAGCGGCAGCTTCTGCTGCTGGTGGTGGTGGTGCTGCCGCTGCAGCGTCTGCTGCTGCAGCTGTTGGTGCTGCTGCTGCTCTTTCGGGGCATCCCGAGCCTCCTTTGCTGCTTCTGAAGCTTCGTAAGGCCTCAACTCAGGCCGCGGGCAGCAGCAGCAGCACCTGCAGCAGCAGCTGCTGCAGGAGCTACACCAACGCGCTTGACAGCAGCAGCAGCAGCAGCAGCAGCA